TATTTCTTTTCAAATATCATTCCCCATTTCCTTCCCAATGAGTGCGTGAGTGTTTCATACATTTCAATGCCATTCTAATAGAGAAATTCATTCCTTGCAAGTTAAACTTTTACACTTTACATGCCTTACAGAAAATTCATAGAAATATATACATCATGCTTCTAAATCACCAAATTCAACACTTAATACACAATAGGCATGAAATATAATCATTTAAACATGCTTTTTCATACAACATCAACTAGCACACATAATCATATAGTTCATGTAGAACAATCTAATCATTTTAAAAGGAAATCGACACAAATAAGCATGCTAGACAATAAATTAAGTAGAACAATTCACTAAAGTGCAAGAAATTGTACATTAGAAACCCCTACCTAAGCTAGATGAAAAATTCCCAAAAATCCCTAGAATTTCAAAAATCCTATGGTTGGCCATACGGTGAATTGCTTGCATCCATGCGTAGATCTTGCCGAGCTCTCCGATTTGCTGCAAACAGCACAACCAAACTCCAAAAAATTGAGGAGTAATCAAAGCTTGAAGCTTTGAAGGAAAAAGAAAAGAACAATGAAAAGAAATGAGAGAGAGAGAGAGCTAGTGCCGGGGAGAGAGAAAAAATGAGGCTAAGGTTGGCCTCTTGACCACTAAGTGCATTAGTGGTGGGTCACACCACTAAAATCCCACATTTTTTGCTTTTAATATGCACCACAAACATATATATGCACACTAACCATATATAACTACATAAAACACATTAAATAAAATAAATGAGATGCAGTTGGACCCAAACAAAAATCCCCGTACATAACAATTCCAGTAGTGGGTTCCACCCAGGAATTTTAGGCCCAAAAAACAAAAAAGATGCCGAAATGACAACCGTTACATTTCTAAGAGTCCTGAACTCAAATAAATGCCCCAATCAACTCTCGAACACACCCGGCGCACCCCACAGTGTCCGGCACGTAAAACGAAAAAATACGAAAATACCCTTGAAAAAAGAAAATTCCCAGAAAATGAAAAATGGTAAAATTCAGAAACATTATAGGTTATGTGATTTTTCTCCTATTATATATATAGTCATGAGTTTAAAACGAACACTTAATTGAGCTTATTCACGGACCTATTCACGGATAAACGAGCCAAGCACGGGTATGTTTGAGATTGGCTAATTTAATAAACGAGTCTAAAAATTTTGTTTGGGCTCTGTTTGTTTAATAAATAAACGAACACGAATTGAGCCCAGCTAGAGAAGTTCGTGAATGGCTAGTCTCGTTTGCACCCTAAGTGTGTCGAGTGGACAATTCCTTATACTGCATTTAGATATATCAATGGATTTGAAAGACGGAACTTGAGTTCGAACAAAAACTTTATAATTGACAATGAATACAAAAGAACATGAATTTTATTTTAGAAAAATTACTGCTAAGTCCTACTTTTCATATTAAAATATAAATAAGTCGAAATTTGTCTTTATGACTAATAAATCCTACTTTACACATTGAAAAACAAATGAGTCCTATTTTTTTTTTCTACTTTAGGACCAATAAGTCTACGTTTGATATTTCTTTCCATTTAAGTCTTACATCTTTAAAATTTTCATTTATACCCTGTACCTCTGAATGCTTTAATATTGAAATAGAAATGGGCAAAAGCATCAAATCAACCACTTTAGACAATTGAAATATCATTATAAGCTAATTGTGTACAATAATATCAAATATGGTTTGGATCGTTCCACACATTGCTGTAAAGAAGTTTAGGTTGAGAGATTTGACATTAGTGTTGTATAAACTTAAGTTTCAGCTTTCCTGAACTACTAAATTTCTGTTTTCTATATCTGTTGAAATAGTAGTTCCGGTAAATTTCTGTTTTCCCCTGGATGCTGGATCACATTTAATATAGAACTAGTTTGAGCTGAAGTAGGGATTTTTATTTATTTATTTATTTATATTTATTTTTTTAGGGTTAAGTGCCAAAAAAAACTCTCATAATATGCAAAATGTGCAAAAAAGAAAAACTCCCTCATAATATGCAAAATGTGCAATTACATCCCTATTGTTCGAAAAAAAATCCCTTACTATTTTCAATTTGTGCAAATAAGGACAAATCATAAATTTGGTGGTAAAATTACTAAATTAACCTTACTTTATCATTAGCCCAAAAAAAAGGCAAAAGACAAAATATCAAAATTACCGTTAAAGTCATAACATAACAGTATAAGGATTATAAATCAGTGTCCCAATATTTAAAGCAAGGGTAAATTGTATTAACACCTTTGAAGTTTCGGCCAATGCCACTCAGATATTGGTCAACGGATTTCTGGACAATGATTCAAAAAATTTCATTGACACTCCTTTCACACACAAAATGACCATTTAACCCTTTGACTTCTCGATTACCATTAAATTTACCAGTATAACCATTTCTAACTAATTTATAGGACCAAAATGGCCTTGCCATCTCAAGGTAATACCCATACTTGCCACCACCACACCCACAACCAACACCCCTCTTCTTTCCTCTCTCTATTCCTTCTTACCCAAGAAAAACCCCCACCACCAGTTTGAGCCTCAACCTCAACCTTCACTAAACTCTCACTCAAATTCACCACCAATAGATTAAAAACTTCTTACGAAATCTGGAAACAAGCAAAACAACATGATTAATCTTTCAGCTTTGTGAACAAGATTCTAAATTTTCATTTTAATCTCAACCTTCATCATTTTTTGACTCATTCCACTCACGGTACTCGTCGGGTCTCCTAGCGATGACAATAATTGCTACGCTGTTCGGCCCGCCATCCAACCAACGCTGGCCACCCCATCTTCTACACGATGGCTTCCCCTTCCATAAGCTGACCCACGGCTCCATCCCAACACTGGTCGGGCTACAGCTGTGTCCGCACCGGCTGCACCTACTCTAACGACCGCTTCTACTACAACACTGATGACTGCAATGGCGGCTTCTAGATGGTGGCGATGTTAGTGGTTCCCGCTATTTGCCATCTTTTTCCTTGATCTGATATTTTTTCATCTCCGATTTGAACTTTCAAGAGTTCTAAAACTGAATTTTTTTTTTTTTTTAATATTTAATTTTTAATTTTTAATTTTTACCCATACTACGATGCTGGAGAGGTGGTGGGTGGTGAACAACCAGTTGGAGGTGGACGGTTTGGGTGGACTAGTTGTTGTGGTGGGTTAGATCAGTGAATCAAGCAGAGGAGGGGGTTAGGTAGTGGGTTTAAAGGTAGCATTGGGTGTGGTAACAGTGGGTTGTGGTGGCGATGGTGGGGGGTGGTGGCGTCGGGTTGTGGTGGCAATGGTGGGGGTTGTGATGGCTGGTTGTGGTGGCGGTGGCTTGTGGTGGCAATGGTAGGGGTGGTGGCGATGGTGGGGTTATAGCGGCGATGGGTTGTGGTGGCAACGGTGAGGGTATTGTGGTGGTGATGATGGGGGTTGTGGCTACTGTTTTAATTATGGTTGTCTGTACTTAGGATTAGTTCATGTTAGGTTAAATGTATTATAAATTTTTATGGGATGGCTAGTTTCGTCATTTCATAGGGTTGATGTTTTTTTTATACAAATTTGAATTACAAGTTCAGGGGCATTTATGACATTTCAATTGAGAGGGGGTCAATGAAATTTTTTGAAACATCAAGGGGTGTCATTGCCAAAAACCCGTTGACCAACATCTGAGTGGCATTGACCGAAACCTCAGGAGGTGTTAGTGCAATTTAACCTTAAAAAAAAATAAAAATTGGAATATAGGTGTCTAGTTAGCTTTTACCAAATTCAACCATTAATGTCCTTCCAATACATTCAAGAATATCTATATATAAATCTATAGTTGCTAAAAATAAAAAATTTGTAGACTAGTGTCACTTCAATCTCACTTATCAATAATAATTTTTTTAACTACATTTTATCCCACTTATTAATGATTTTTGAGAAATTGTACTTGAAAATTTAATGGTAAACCGACTAGAAAAAAAAAAACAGAAAAAAAATAATGGTAAACTCAAAAGTTTGGCTCGCGTGATGTTGAAGCCTTGTGCTTGTTTATTATAAAGAACAGAATATGATAAAAATATCGACATTAATAAAATAAAATAAAAATTGTTTGAGTTTGTGTACGTCGAAGAGTAACTAGATCAAAATTTTAATTTTGATAGAAATCTTAAGTTCATCTCATAGCAATTTGTGTCAAAGCAAATTCATTTATTTAATTATTATTATTATATATATAAATAAATAATCGATGGAGGCTCATTCATTTATAAGAAAATATAGTGCATCTATCTTTTAGAGAGGAAATAATATTGGCAAAGACAGAAAAATTTTAAAGAGAAAAAAAAAATAGAAAGAGAGATAATATCAGCAGTCACAACAAATATTTTAGAGAGAAAAAAAATTAGAGAGAGAATATCGACTGTGGCGAGATATTTTAGAGAGAATATATTTTTTTAGAGAGAAAGATAACCATGGCGACACACAGAGAGTTTTACTTGGATATGTCTTGAAGCACATCGAAACAAACTCATTTAGTGTTCAAATATATACAATATTAGTAGGGGCATTCTTGTCACACAAAAATGGCACTTTTGATTTTTTATTTTTTTTAAATGACATCACCAACTACTCTTTTTCAATGAATCCATTCAACTGGGGTAAATTGATCAAAAGATGAATAATACAAGGAGTTATATTCCTTTTTTTTCCTTCTAATAGAGGTGTTTCTTGCAATTTTTTATATAGTAAAAAGTTTTTTTTTTGTACTTAACCCTTTTTTGTATTTATTTTTATATAATAATAATATATGTAATCCAATGTTTGAGATAATGACACATCAGCCATGAGGATGATGTTTCCCTTTATAGGTAAGGAGCTAGGTAAATATCATTCTTTAAATTAACAAAAGTCATTATTGAGTGTGAGAAATTCTCACAACCAGCAGAAACAACAACAAAGTAGCAACTTATACAAATCAAAGTCTCTGAATCAAAGGCGGCCGCAGTCATATTTGGTATGATAAGTCGGGTTACGGAAGAAAATAGCCAGGAAGACGAAACAAGCAAATTTTACTAGCAGTGATGTTGTTGGAGTCTCCCATAGCAAACCACAAAGGTATGTCTGTGTTGACAATTGCACCACCCTCATTCTACGTTCTTTCACATATTGATCCATTGCTTCTCCAATTTCATGCACCATCATCTTCCTCTCTCTTGCACTCGGATTAGTCGGACTCATCTTCTCTGCCAAGCATCTAGCAAGAGCAATCGCGTCTTCTAGACCTGCTGAGCCACCCTGCCCGAGGAATGGTCCCATTACATGCATGGCATCTCCGGCTAGTGTCACCGTTCCTTTTCGAAACTTTGCTAGTAGTAAGTTCCATGGTGAACGATATCGCATGCGTGTGAGAGACAGTGTACTTGGGTCACTGCTTTTTATCATTTCTGTTATTTCTATTGGGAAACTCATGGTTGATTCCAGAGCTGATTGTTGGATGAGCTTCGAATCCTGCGAAACCTTTGCATCTGTTCATTTAAAGTAAGTGCCATTAAATGTATAATTACATCCTCATTGCATATGTGGCAAAATATTTTTATGACGCATTATCATCAATAAAAAATAAAAGGGAATGAAATTAATCAAACATGATGAAATGGGCCCATCCGACTGTCGACATTCCTTTTTTATTTCAATATTTTATATTTAAAATTAAATATGATGTGTCATAATAAGATTGTGTCACATTATGCGTCACCATCAGACTGTCATTCCTTTTTTATTTAAACATTTTACATTTAAAATTAAACATGATGTGTCATAATAAGATTGTGCCACATTATGCGATGGTGTAAGTCCTCAGTTTGTAAAAGAAAGTGGAAATTTAGTCAAAACCCACAAGATAGAAGTAAGTGTTAAAAAAATTTTAGGCGATAACACATATATAGAAGGGTTTTAGGGTTTGTATTGTTCACATTGAGCATAGAAAATTCCTAAATAAAAAGTGATAAACAAAATAAGTGCATTTGGCATTAGGGGTGCTGAGAGACTTAAGTATCTCATTTTTTCTCAACATGATAAAATCTTTTTATCATATCTACTGTGAACATATGCATGGAAGAACTCAGAAAATTATGTGAGGGGGTTAATGGTGAATTTTTTTTTTGTAATTTTAGTCTGGGCAATAGTAGAATTTTATAGGTATATAATTCAAAAAGAGAAAATAAGTGAGGGCAATTGCCTTCACTAAGGTATAGATAGGTATATCCCTGAACATAAGTCGAACCACGTTAAATATCTGTATTATGTTTGATGTGCAGTGATTTGTTATAGTAACACTTTCAAAGATCAAATATATAGAAACATAAAGACATGTCAAAAATCTCTATCTTAGTTGTAAGCGATGATGCAAAATCAAATGCAGTAGACTAGAGTTTACCTTTAGAAGTCCATTGCTGAACTACAAACCAGAAGACCAACTCATCAGTAATTGGAATTCTTCCCACAAAAGTGTCCCCAATCTTCATTTTGACAAACTCATTTGCAAAAGGGTGACCATTTGCGTAAGTTGTTAAACCTCGCGTTGCACATATGGTGTGAAGATTGGAAGGCTTTAGCTCAAGGAAATCCGCAACTACTGACTTGGCTCCATCACATCCGATCAAAACCTGTGACATGAAGAGTCAAGCATAAACTACATTCTTATTCATAATTATCTTATTATCCGATCAAAACCACCTGTGACATTCCTAGCAATATTTTGCAGACATGCATGCAGACTCCAAAGAGAGCTTCCGGTAATGCACAGTTGAATAAAAAGCAAACTCAGGCTCCCCATTTGTTATATGGACTCTTTAAAAGTAGTAAAGTACCCGTGTCGGACGACATTTTTGGTTGGATTTGTACTTAAAAAGCATAGCAATCATTCAATTACATTACATTATTACTTTAAAATGAGTTAAATGCCTATATTGAATATTATATTGGATAAAAATATTACTTTACTCTAAAAAATAAAATAAAATAATTAAAGAAATGAATATTTAGCCGTGCCTTGTGTTCTTCTGTTTGCAGATTTGACATACCTGACTCATAGATACACACCCGTGTCCGACACCCGTACCCGAGTCCATGTAACTTAGGCTCTCACCATTGTAAGTTTTGAGGAGAATTAAATGTATGCAACTTTATCTTCGCTTGCAGAGAAACTGTTTTCTTAATTGTTTCGAACCTATAACCTCCATATTACAATGAAGCAAAACTTTTTTTTTTTTTTTTGAAAAGTAAATTAAAATATTATAAAGAGGGAGCCTAAACTGCCCATAGCAATATTACATAAGTAGCCCAGGCTTGAAGTAATTAAGCCAGGCCATGAGAGAATAAAGTTTGAACAAAGTAGCCAAGCCCAAAGACTCCAGCCCGAGAAGCTAACAGAAAAGGAAACCATCAATGGCTTCGACAAATCCGGCATCAACATGGTGAAAACCGTCAATGGAGCAAACTTAGCCACACTTGCTTAATCTAATTATCAAATGAAGTCTAGCGCAGAAGATAGTTACAAGTAGGTTTTGCTAAAAAGGCCAAAAAGTTGCTATTGACATTAATGCTCCGCTGTAAATTTTTATTTTTTTGTTCTTTTATGTTTGATTGTCTTAAAATATTTAAGAAAGAAAAAATATTTAAAACTAACAAAAATGATTTAACAAACAATTTTGGACAAATTTTTTTACACGTTGTACGTGAGCTGGGTTCAGAACGTCAAGAGACAGTTTGGTGTCCACCTGATGAACTGGACCTTAACCTCTATTTAAACTTTTGCTAAATATCAAAAAATAAAAATATTATACATGAAAAAGAAAAATATTTTCAGAAAAAGATATTTTACGTGTCTTTATTGAAAATCGCTACCTTGAACTAGCACTACCAAAAAAATAAAACATTAATACCTTGGCCATAATAGAACTCCCATCTTGAAGTTGAAGAATGGGATAAGAAGTTGAATGGTCCAATTTTACCGAGACTATTTGGCATCCAAAACGTACTGTACCATGTGGCAAAGACTCGGCTAAGATCTCGATCAAGTCACTCCGTTTCAAGCACCGTGTTTCACCATTCCTATATATCAAAGTTACAATATTTATCTCATTGATTGCAAAAATATAGCTAATTCATTTAAATTTGTTTCAATGATCGTGTTCATGGTGTTACATTTCGTGCTTATTGTGTCAAATCCTATTGCTAAGCAGAAGTTGTGAATGTTCACAATATAATAAAAAATAAATAAAAAATATTGAATTTACAGCTTTGAATTCTGCTCTCAGCAGTACATGCACATGAAAGGAAACACTATAGGAAAACCTAACAACCAAGACTTTTTGCCAAACAAGTCCAAAATTAACCTATATCTTAAAATTACAAAGATATATACAATTAACCTATATATATATATCGAAAATATTCAATAGTTTTCCTACAAGACTGAAAAATGCAATTTCAGGGATCTAAATAATGGAATTTGGCCAAAAAAACGACGTATGTTGTTAGCAAAGCTAGTTAATATTGATGGTTGTTCTAATCGAGAGTGGGTCTTCTTTGGCCAAAATGGGCTCGTTTGAACTCTTGGCAATCCAAACAAGACATATATATAGGTTTCGACAATTTGTTCTACATCAAATTAATATATATTTATTCATGGTATGGAATAAAATAAAAATGTGATGTTCCAAACTTACCCGAACGGTAATTCTTGTTGCTTACCCTCGTCTAGCAACACAAGTCGTGACCTATACATGAAAGAGACAGTTAGAAATAGATTCTAACTTAAATTTTTTAGCTTTATCTAGCAATATATGTACATGTTCACGTACATAGAGGGGGGAAACTAAGAGAACAGGTGAATGAGTTGTAATCCTCTGTTGTACTGCACGTGTAGAACATGCAATAAAACAATGAAGTGCTGTGATTGAAATACACACAAGCACACAAAGTTATATGTTTCAACCACAGTCCTCCATATATTGTCACATTGTGCAATGCACCAGAGGATTTAGTTGTATGTTTCAATTGCAGTACTCCTCCATTGTCTTATTGCAGTTGTGCAATACACAAGAGGATCTTGGTCCATAGATGCATACCCTTCGATAGGAAGAGCGGTTTGTCTGAGCTTAGAGCCCACACCAAGCTGATCGAGAACACGCCAACCATTAGCCATAATGAAAATAGCTGCCCCCGTTGCACGTAAGGTCTCGGATCTTTCCAAAACCACGCTTCTAATGCCCTTCCTGCACAATCAATGGAGTGTTCATGGGGTTGGCAAGGGTGGAGGGTCTTCCAATTAGAAGACCTTTTTAAAAAAATAAAAAACAATCGAGATATTGCATATCAGGAGCTAGAAAATTATTTGAGATGGGGCACTCTTCAAAAATAAATAAATAATAATAATAATAAATAAATAAACCTTAGCCCGGCATTCGGTCCTTATAGCTTGGTCTTGAATATCACAAATTCACAATAGTCAATTGTAAAATATGATCACACTGTAGTATAGTGGTATTTTTTTACCTTTTAAAATAAAAACCGAGAATTTAAGTCACCTCTAAACGAGTTGGTGGATGCTAGTTTTTAGACTAAGTTTTAAAAAATGAGACATTTATTTTGAAACATCAAGAAAAAAAGGAACAGTTATTTTGAGATGGAAGGAGTAATTGGAATGCTGAGAAAATGGAGTGACCTGTGAAGGGCAAGGGCGGTGGCCAGACCACAAATTCCAGCCCCAGCTATGACAATATCAATCTGCTCATAAACATCCATCTCTCTCTCTCTCTCTCTCTCTCTCTCTAGGATGGACACGGGTTAATTTGGCTGCATCAAGATATACATTATATTTATAGAGATCCTTAACAATGAAATATTAGAAAGAGTAAGATAAATTAAATAGTAATAATTGAAAAGCCCTACATTCCATCTGAAGTGAACTGCATTTAACCTGGCGGTTATCTCTATCTTTTAGTTGACCTTGAGCTAAAAAATAGCTTTGAACTTTAAATAATTAAAGAATGCAATAAACACGCATGCAAAAACATGCCATGTTAAACACACCTTAGAAATTTAATTTCTTGAGTCCTCAGAGGCAAGTGGTATATAGATCTTAGTATTTTGCAATAAAAGAATATTGGTAGTACTTATATATATATATATATATCTATCTCAACATGCTTGTTTGACTTGAAGATTCGCTTACATTTTTAAAGTTTAATTTTCTAAGAATGTGAATGGCCCACGCTTGCAGTGACGTCTCTAGTGTGAGGTACACACCATATCATTAACAAAAAACACGCATGCATTGTGTTGTTGCATAAGCATGCCAAACAAGGATTCCCCTAGTGAAACCCCAAAGGAGAAAAGAAAATGGAAAACAAAACAGAATAGGTTGTGAAAACTAAAGAAATAATTTTTCTTATGAAGATTCGTTGCAGAACAATGAATTTGAATCATGTATCACGTTAATTAAAATGTATCTCAGGAATTCTCATGAGATAGGGTTGAACCGCAAAATTGGGTCTCATTTTAGGCCATCAATGGTCTTAATTATTTATATTTACACCCACAATATCAACCACTGGAAAGGCAACATGTGGCGAGTTCCATGGGACTTGCCACACTAGATTAATATTCGAGCATTTGGAAAGGAAGCTACAATCAAGGATGAAAGAGGCAGTTACACCTAGCCACCCAAGTTTGGAGCATGGAACTGCTCGGACCTGCCATGTGGAACTGAAGACCAGACAAGAATATGAATGATCCTATGAGGTGAAGCGTACCAAAAGGAGAAAGCATGTGGCAATCAATTGCCACGTGTAAGGTTTGGATTGCCAAAGATTGGGTAAGTAATTTAAGATGATACTTGAACTCTTTTTATTTTATTTTTTATTTTTTGAAAGTTCAAGATAAATATATTAAAATAAATAAGGTACATAACAACCCAAGAGGTTAGCCCATTGCTAACATCAAGAAGGACTAAACCCAAGGTAAGCAGTACAGCACAAGAAGGCTCAAGATAATACAAAATGTGTATGATGAAACATCAACACAGCAGACCGGTGATCATGGAACATATCCCCAACATAGCTAATTTTAGCTAGGGATGCAATGTCTGGAGGCTTCTTTGGTGGTCGAATCACTGATTGTGGAAGCTCCCATTCCACAACAACCCTCCTAGCATTGAGCGAATCTGAAATTGTGGAAGTGAGTAGCTTGGATCGAATGATTTCCACAGTCCTATGGAGTACTGAATTGGCATGAGATGCTTTCTTCTTGAAAATTCTGCTATTCCTTTCTGTCCATATGTGATATACCAGTGAAGCTAAACCCAATTTGGATATAGTAATGTTATGAAACTGAGAGTTGTCTCACCAGTGATATGATGCCCATGCAATGAGCTGTGTCCAAGATGATGGTTGAATGTAAAACCCACAACGTGCTTGTAGAAAGTGCCACAAGGGTTTAACAAATAAACAATCAAAGAACAGGTGGTCATGAAACTCGAGTTCACTATTACACATAATGCACATTGAAGAGTTTATATGCGCTGTACATCTTCTGTTTGGAGTTGGAAGCTTATGTTGAATTGCAACCCACAGTGTAAACGAGTGCTTGGGGATGGAAGGCTTGAACCAAACCAGATGAGTCCATGGTAGGGTTGGATACTACTGATTATAGTGCTTTATTGTTTTTGCTATGGAGAATTGGGTGGAGTTAGATGGGATCCAGATAAACTTATCACTACAGGCAGGGTTGGGTTTTGGAAGTGAGGATACTGGTTGAAGCTGAGGCAATAAGTTCAAGATGGCATCTAGAAAGGTCCATGTGTTATTGAGGATGAATGTGTTTCCTTTGGTCCTACTATCAAATCCAGTTGCAGCAATTTGTTGAGGAGACACATGTTAATGCAATGGACCAAGATGGCACCAAGTGTCAAACCAGAAATTAAATGAAGTACCATCTCCAATTTCTAGCTTGACAAGTGGTTTGATTGAGTCTCTAAGACCAAGCAATCTCCTCCAAGTCCAGGAATACTACCGAGGCACTTTAACATCCCAAATACTTCTGCCCATAAGGAGATAGGTATTTATGTATCCATTTAACCCAAAACATGTTTTTTGAGCTAAGAATATTCCAGAAATGCTTCATAACTGCACTTTCATTCCATAAATGCAAGTTAGGTAGACTAAGACCCCCTGCTCTCTTTGGGAGACAACATTTATCCCATGCTACCTTAGCACTTGTCTTTTTAAGAACTGGCCTAGACCACAAGAATGCACCAAAAATGATATTCTGTCAATCCTGGATGATATTTGACTTTATCAACTAAAGGAATGTGTAATATTGTTAACATTATTCTAACTTACCATGTAAGTTAGGATAACGCCTAAAATTAAGGAGTCCCATTAAGTGAGGGATTGTAGCGGAAGAAGATTTCTTAAAGACTAAGATTCAGTCTAGATACATTACAAAGATGAGAGATTTTAGTAGCATGATGTGGAGGTTGCCATATGAAAAGCATAATGTCTAAAGTGGGTCAAAACCACTTAAGGAAGTTGCTAAATTATTGGTGTCGTGCATAAAATCAGAACATGGGATTCAAATTTTCAAATTAAAAGGAGTTATATGTGGCATAATCCTAGCAAAATCATTGCACTTGGCTGCCATACAAGGAAGTTTTGTGTCAAAGTTGACTATATCAACTCTACCAAGTGATATGTCAACTATAGAAGGCAGCCACTCTCCCTATTTAGATGAGGAGGTTGCTAGTAAGTGGGCTGAGAACATGAAACATGTACCAAAGAAAGTTGAGAAATAGATGGAAGGTCGGGATCCTTTCAAATGACGATTTTAAAACGTAGGTAAAAGTTATAACATACTTTGCACTACTAAATCCACTCTATTAGAGTTGTAAATTAATGGGAAACATGTTAATTTTTACACGTGTTAGCACTATAAGAAAGCTAAAGAAAACGTGGGACATCTGACACAAACCAGACTTTCCATGTTGAAGTTTTCAATTACTGCCGGAACTGTTCTTTCCACCTGGTAGTTCCAGAATGTGAATAAAGGCTAGCAACATGCAAATACAGTTTTACACATGTCAACACTATGAGAAATCTGGGGAAGACATAGGACACGTTGCACAATCCAAACGTTCCACTTGGAAGCATATCCAATTGTTGCTGGAATTGCCATTTCCAACTGCTGCAAGGAAATTTTATAAATAGGACACTTATGTGCAACAGGCAAACCTTGCTCAACACACATAACAAACCAATACAACATTTTTCTTTTCATGTATTTTTACATTCCCGGCAATGTATTTACATAATATTCAATTTTAGTCCAGCACTTTCTTTTCCTACTTTCCAGCAAGTAGTTAATTCCTAATTCTTTCAATTACAAGTCTTGCACTTTCGATTTTGTTTTTCTTTCCATTAGCACTAGAACTATCCCAAAGTCCTTTTTCAAGGCAAAAAGAACGCTAGAGATTTGGTTATTCCAAGCTTCCGCTTAATCACTTAATCCCGATAACTTTTTATTGGAATATTGTTTGGAGCTCCACTTTAGAACGACAACAGTTCCTGGTACGCCCGCAACCTTTCCACATGCTTAGAAATAACAATTTTTTGTGAGCCAAACATATTGCCATGCCCGCCCGGACATTCTAGATAGATTGTTTCATGGCATGTGGAAAAAACTAAGGCAAGTCTGTCCAAGACCTTATTGAAGTAGAAGAAATGCAAGCCAGTGTCCAGTGAAAAGTTCACGAGTTGTACTCAATGAAAAAGATATGGTTGAAAAGTTTGCTCAAGTAATGGCAAACAAACCTATCATAGATAACATTTGTGTGATGGCTTTCCAGCAAGATGGGTACGCTCAAGATAAGCAAAAGCCGCTTATTCTCAAGAGTGAAAGTTAGAAAATTTGGTAAACCGAATCTCTTATAGGTTTGAATCTATGTTAGAACAGTCTTTTAGAAGTTTGAATCAAAACTTGGCTTCTAGGCTAAATAATTCTAAAGGGAATCAACAATTAGTCTTTCAAGTCAATAGGCTAACCACATATGTTGAACGCAGTACCTCTTAACGACATGCATATATGTTCCTTCAAAACCAGTAGTAGGTGCAGTCTGTTTCAATGACACATATCCATATTCCAGTATCACATGTGGTTCATTCAATAGCACAGATATCTGTTCCATAATCAGTGCCCATGCCAGTTACCCAGCAAGTCTAGAACCTTCTACTTGTGGTGTTTCTACAACAAACTTGGTATGATCAGGTTGGCCAACCATTTTCATACCACATTCCTCAAGGATAATAAAATGTTAATTTGTGAACACTTAACTAGTAGTGGCTACGCTACCAAGGCTACACATGGCTATTCCTATGGCGGTTGGGGGGGAACCTTTTCCAAGGGAGCCACTTCCAAACCAAGGAAGAAGAAACTATTGGAGGAAAAACCTGTTAGTAGACCCTAACCCACTGCCAATGGCAGGTGGGGGGCATCAAGGAATCAATCAACGTTAAGGTTGGCCAGATAATAACCATCTACAACTTATGATGTTTGATAGTCTTATCATACGCACATTTAAGAGCTCAAATATGAAATATTCAATGCTCATCAGTTGGCTTCAGAGGTATGGACTAGAAAAAGAAATGAACAGATTTGTCAAAAATGGTCAAGCCACCCATCACTCAACCAGAGAGGTGGAAGAGAGTAGACCATCCAAATTAAGTTTTCTATACGTGATGATTTAGCCT